ATCTTTCTAAAGTTATACATCTTAACCCGATTCTACTTATACAACGCGGGTTACAGATTACTAAAGCTACCAATTGGAAAAATAATGATCGTCAGACGATGACTCCTTTTGTCGCCCAAACCGTTTTTTGTTGGCGAGGGGACGACGAGGTACCGTACCGCTCATGCTCGGGTGGTACGCTTTGTTTTCTTGTTCGTAACTTGTTCTTTTTAGCGCTCGGTTTCAAATGAATATTTACATTATATTCGGAAATTTTAAATTTATTATTAATTTTTTGTTTATACTATGCAAATATGCATAATCTAAAAGAAATACTCAAATTGTCGCACGTGTGAACGAAATGGGTGACACTAAAAGAGAATTTGCCGATACTGAGCGGCAAAGAGAATCCTTGTCTGAAAGCAGTCTTACCTTACATAAAGTGCACAAAACTATTATACTCCTGTGCAATATCTTACAACAGTTTTAATGCATTTATTCATTATTTAAATTTTATTTTTCATATAGTACATAAATTTAATTCAATTCCCAAAATAGACCACTGGGTACGGTATTACCCCGTAAAAAATGCGCAATCCGCTGGGTTTGAAAATTGTGCTAATTTAAAATTGCTACAACTACGCTGACAATTACGTAAATATTCAGATTGCTGACAACGAAATTGCGGAGGCAAAAATGTTCAATTCAGTTATATGCAATTTCGGCGCATAATATTATGCATAAACAACTTCAAGTACATCCATATGTATATACAAGTATGTATGCCTGTGTGTGTTTGTATGTCAGCATGCAGCTATATTTCGGCACACTGCATTGCCCGTAAATCATAGCGGGGTGTGTGGGTGTGGTGTTCATAATTCGCTGCTCGTTAACTGTATGCAGCCATTTGGCCACAACGCCAGCGACAACAGCAGGCGACATTAAAATGGACTGACGTTCGACCAAATGTCAGCATTCGGTGTGGAAAATGCACAAATATTATTATATGAGCGTGGAAATTTCACACAAATATATTATGACAAAATATGCGAAAATGTATAATATGAATGCAAGCAATAGTGGGTTATACAAGCACAAATATAGTTGTATGTGTGTGTGTATGCTCGTTTGTATTTGTACACGTTTAAAGCATTATGACCAAATTTATAACTTTGAATATTGGAAAAATAATTAAGAAAATATTTTTGTCGATTTTAGAGGTGCCAATGGAATTATTTGTGAATTCGAAAATGAATTTGACATGAATGCACTGTACATAAATAATATATATAACAAGAAAATACCGTTACTTCGGTTGCACCGAAGCTAAATTATCATTTACAGGTGCATTTCTTATAACCTATAAAATATTTTGTCAAATAAAAAAGTTTTCCATACAAGAACTTGAGTTTGATCGGTCAGTTTTTACGACACCTATATGATATAAAAGTTCGATCTGAACAGTTTCTTTGAAAGTTATACCTCTGCTTCGGAAAAGAATACACGTCAAATTTCGTGAAGATATCTTGTCAAAAAAAAAAGTTTTCCATACAAGGACTTGAGTTTGATCGCTCAGTTTGTATGACAACTATATTTTATAAAAGTGCGATCTAAACAATTTCTTTGAAAATTATACCCCTGTTTTGGAAAATAATCCAAGTTGAATTTCATTATGATATCTTGCTAAATAAAAAAATTTTCTATGCAAGAACTTGATTTTATCGGTCAGTTTGTATGGCAGCTAGACCGAGATCGGCGGTTCCGACAAATGAGCAACTTCTTCGAGAAAAAAAAAACGTGTACAAAATTTCAGATGGATAACTCAAAAAATGAGAGACTACGGATATGACTAAATCGACTCTGCTCGTCACGCTGATCATTTATATACTTTATAGGGTCTCCGACATTTCCTTATAAACAAAGCCTCTTTCACTGCAATATCATTAAGAATTCGCACTATTGTTTGGTTATGAAGAACCAAAAATCCTCTGATTTGCATTTTACTGGGTCTCAAGCACATTGTAACAAATACGACATGGGTGAAAACAATTATATTTGACCTAACAATCAAAGAACGTTTTTTAAAGGGAATTTCGCTTTATTCTTTGACTGAATCTTCATCTAGAGTAATGCATTTGTTGTAACGGTCCGTCACCATTTCGATCCTGGTTCGTATGGTTAAGCTTCGAGGCTTTCAAAATAGGCGTCTAGTTCATTTTGCGTGAATTGTTTTTTCTGCAAACCAGACTTTTTGGACAAAGTCGTTGTATACTACTGATTCCTCATTCTCAATCCTTCCTGTCTAATAGCGTCTTGATTGTTTAATTATATCAATATATTAACATCTTCAAAGTCTATATATAATTTATTGAGAAAGGCTAGCTGAATGAATCTACGAACTCATAAATGAAAAGGTAATCCGACTGTACTGAGGTTTGTGACATCTGGATCTTTACGATATGTTCGGAAACACTAATGATGATACTGAAGAGATTATAGATACAACTAGGACCAGATTAACCTGAATATTAGACAAGAAAAAAATAAAGATCATTTCATACCTACAAAACAAATACAACAAATACTAATACTGTCTTTTAGATCTAAAGATTTCATAGTTCATATTATTCCGAACCGACTTATATTTGTTCTACGCATCGAGCTCCAGAGATGACGCGCCCTCATCGAATATCTTTTATAAGATCGCAATCGAGTCATGATGCATTCCTCAGTGCAGATATTTTGATGTCTTAATAAAATCAAAATATATAATGAAAAGATTCTAGCAAAAGTAAAAAAATATATTACTACCTTTTTTCTGAGCTAATACAACTTAATAATAAGTGTAACATATTAAATTTTTTCTAAATTTTATCTTATTGCAGGGTCTCCTCTGGGCTTTGGACGTGGGACTTGTGAACACATTGGAACAACCGATACGCCGTTGTGGACCAAAAATTGTAGCAATCAACACGGCTGACAACAAAGTAGTAAAGATCATCGACCTGAGTGATCTCGTAACGGCTGAGTCCCGCTTGCAGTTCATAGTGGTGGACTACTCCAAGGACAACAAGCCGTTCGTATATGTTGCTGACGCCGGAGCACGCAGCATACTCGTCTACGATATAGCCGGCGACAAATCGTATCGCATCGTTTTACCTAAAGCCACTGCACCTACTACCACCGATGTGCTTTATATGGCGCTCACCGCCACACCGGATGGCACATCGACACTGTACTTCACGTATCTTAGCTCACCGCGTCTGTACTCCATACGTGGACAGTATTTGCGTGTTGGACAGGGTGCCGGTTCGATTGTCGATGTGGGCGCCAAGCCTTATGGCAAGCAAATGGTGCTGCTCGGCGCCGATGGTGGCACGAATTTGTTCTTCCGTTACAAGGGTGAAAACGACATATATATGTGGAACTCGGAGACTTGCTTCAAATCAGCCAATTTAAAAGATGTACAACATGGCGGTGATTGTCGGCTGTCGACACAGGTTGGTAGTAATTGAAGTAGCGATTTGATGGCGTAAATGTTAAATTTTGTATTTTTATCATTTTAAAACTTCAGGTGCTGCCCGGCCATAGGCGCTTCATGTGGGCTTTGGAGAGCAATTTCCATGATTTCATATCGGAACGAACGGGTTGCAATGGTGCATCGATTGTTCTGCATCCCGTAGTGCGCGAATGTAATGACTAAGGGTCGCAGTGAGATGGTAGTTTTAAGTGAATTGTTTGAAGTTTTTAAAAAATGTGTTTTTTTGTTTTTGAGTTTACAAATTATGTTCGTCTATTTATTAAGCTTTTCACTTTTTCTAGACTTTCTTAAACAAATGTATTATAATTTTATTTTGAGCACATTTTTAGTTTTCAAATGACTGTTCTTTATATTTTCGAACTATTTTCCCCATTTTACTTTTATTGTTCTAAATGACCCTCTGGACATTTTTTACCATATTTACCTAAAAATATTTTATTAATATTATTTAAAATAAATATTTAAGGAGTTTTGATAATATTTGTATTTATTATAAAGAATATTGGCGATATGAATCGATTTCATACATTTTTGATATCAAATAAAATCATATCAAATATAAAATCGTCGAAAATTTTAAATATTATTGAAGTTTATTGGGTACGAAAGTTGAAGTATAAGAACATATTTGCCAATTTCATCCATTTTCGGTATGACGTTATACTGTAGGTCTAAACAGTCGCACGTAATTTTAGTAAGATATCTCGGATAATAACGGTTATATACGAACGGAAGGGCAGAGGTCCTCACTTTCGTTATTTATAGGCAAAGAGAAGATATGAAGGTATTTAGAACACTTTTGGGACAAAGTTTTTAGCAGAATTTTGTAGCCTATTTACGACAACTAGGTGTCTCATGGTTCTTTACCGGTGTAGCGCTGTAACTATGGATCTTCTGTGAACTCGGAAAACGATAATCAACAATCAGAGCGTGTGCAGCCGCTAGATCCTTTTGGTCCAGTGTGAAACGTAAGCGATTCTCTAAACTACTTGCTTTTAGCAAATTTTATCTCTCTGCAATTGTATATGTTTTGACACCATCCAATGGGCTCACACGGAGTGCGGCTAAATATCTTATTGCCCAGCTTTTGCTAGACTGAGACTTAAATATCTCGCCAACAATCTAACCTAAACTAATTTGTACTAGGTCTGTTTTGATATGTTTATTAAATCTTGAGTTAATAGTTTACTTTGTTCTGTAATTATTTTCTAGAGAGTGATTACCTTGGCCAGACTTCAGCAATACCGTTATATAGGAACGTGCTTTGGTTACATTTTTACATCGTTTAGAATTTTGATCTTTTGGACTATATGTAACATAAAAAAATTACATACTTGTAGATCTTGCTCAAAACTCTGACTTTAATAAAAATAACCAATGAGAGATCTCCAAGTGTCGTCCTCTGCCTTTTGGAAAAACTGGTCCTTAAATATTTTTTATTGACTAAATTAATATTAGCAAGTGTTAAGAGTCATATTGGTTAAAATTCATAGATTTAGATTTTATTTGTAAGTACAACAAATCTGACACAAATAGCATCTTCCACCAAATTATGCACAAATTTCGCCATTGAATAACAAACCTTGGGGGCATCTTAATAGCGAAGGTACTAATCTTCCACTGGTACCACTAACCTCACAGATATAGAATATACTTGCATCACCAGGCCATGCACCCATATCACCGGTAGAAGAGCAACTAAAAGCCAGATTATAGCAAGCTACGCTGGAGGCGTTTATACACCCTTGCCGATTAACCGAATACCGTTTAAAGGGGCCGCATCTATAGCGGTTATATGTACCACCACTGTAGCAATCATAAAAATTACGGCAGTCGTATGGATCGGGATAGCGACCGACCCTTCGGCATTTAAATTCGGATGTGGTGGCTAAGCCCAAACCATTAAAGATAAAACCATTGAAGCCGAAATCGCTAGAGCCATAACCTTGAGGTAAAAACCACGCCTGTGTTAAAGTAGTGGTACAAACTATAAATAAGAACTGTAAAAAGGAAACGTTTATATTTCTTAACATTTAATTGATAGTTGAATAAAAAAAAACCACTTACCGAAATCCATAGTTTTGCGAAGGAAGTGTAATCCATTTTGTGCGATTCCAACTGTGGTGTATGCTCAAGCTAGTAACGCTCTAAACTAATTCGTAGATTTTTAGTCGCTTTTATGGCAAATTAAATGAATAATTTTATCTGAACACTTGTCGAGATTAAGAATTGTACAATTTGTTGCGATTAAAAATATTAATTAATTTTTTATAACTCAGATTTTACTCGGATAAACATTGCGACAATTGCACAACGTTCGATATTATTCGGTTGTAAGAGAAATACTCTCTTAATACAGGGTGTCCAAAAATTAACGCTAGACTTAAATTTGCCGCCATTTATGTAGTAAGTGTTGACACCCCAACAAAAAAAACAAAAACAAAGCGACAGCTGACAGCTAGTAAAAATGGAGTATTACACGATAGAACAACATTTCTTTATTATTGAACAATATTTCAAAAATAATGAAAGCTTGGCGGTCGCAGTTCGAAAATTTCCAACAAAATATAGTCGGAAGAGTGTTTTAACTTCGTCAACTGTGAAGAAATTAATTGAAAAATTCCGGGAGACTGCATACGTTCAAAAACAAGTCGTTCAAATGACAATATCGAAGCACTGCGTGAGAGCAATGACAATCCAGGAACCTCAATTCGGCGTCGTTTACAGCGTATACTCACTAAAGATCTGTGGCTTCATGCTTACAAAATTCATTGCGTTAATTTTGGGACACCCTTTATCTATGGAAACTAGAGTATAAAGAGTTGAAAAATAAAAGAGTACACACCAAAGTTAAAGAGAAGTTTATGAGCATGCCATGAGATCAAAAAAACAAAAAAAAATAGAAGTGTAGAAAATATTGGAGAAGATAGGGATGAAGATGAAGACTGCGATGATGTGGTCGCTGGAGGAGGGTCTCGGTGTAGCAAGTGTTGGAAAGGATGAGGACAAAGAAGATGACTGTGATGATGTTGGCGTCGGAGGTAGTTTCGGTGAAGGGGATGTCGGTGAGGATAGCGATTCAGTAGATGTCGGCGATGATGTTGGCATTGGAAAGAGTTTCGGTGTAGGAAATCGGGGTGAAGATCAGGTATCAGTACTTACACTCACGCCACTACGAATTACTGTCCCATCCACTGTATTCTCCAGATTTAGCACCGTTCTACCTCTTTTTATGCTCCAAACTTGAGAAAGCTACTATTCAAGGTTAGGAGACTATAATAAATGTCCCGTCCCATCCCTACATTATGTATATATAAAAATCGCCTCGCCAAAAAACTTAATACCATTTTAAGCAAATCCTCTATTTTATTTACTTTTCAAAATTTTAAAAATGCATGTGTAATACAAGTATAAAGAATTACGTACTGCATGCACCGAAGACACAAGATGCATACTGAGTACTGAAATGAGTACCCGATGGACATTTGCGTTGGCTCTGGATACCATTCACAGCCGAACAGTAATAGTAGCTAGTACAATCGTTTGGATTGGCTGATAAACCAGCCATCGAGCATCTGCCACTGGCAGGTGTCGCCGTTGACGAACTGTCAGTATCTGAACCGTTGAGCGTTACTACTGTTGTTACTGCTATGGGAGCTGTTGTCGTTGTTTCCAATTGTATGTTGCCCTGTTGACAGGCATAACCATTGAAGACCTCACCATCAGAACACCGATAAAGCGATGGATAGAGTACACGCTCATCTTGCTGCGAAAGTGCACGACAAATGTAGAAAAAATTTGGACTATTCGGCCATGCATGAGCATCACCAACTTTGTCGCATTGAAATTGCGGCAACAAACAGATGGGATCTTGCAGTGTTGCCGTACATTGACCAGTTGCCACATTGAATGCCTTGTTACCGAAACATTCTAGTGTCACCGACACGAGAGTGACGCCCGCAAAGTAACACATATGATATTTTTGACAATCATACGGATCGGGGAAAATACCCTGCGATGTGCAAGGAAAATTGCCATCCATGGCGAAGGGATGACACGGTCCGGTCGAATTGCTGCACATGCCATGACGTGAGTTGCAGTAGTAACCCTTGGCGGTGTCACAAATTTCAATGGGGATTATCATCCAACCGCTGGAGTTACGCACGCATGTCGACAACAATTCACATGATTCACAAATATTTCCGCTAGTCTGGCGACTCTCACAGGTATTCGCCTCACGTGGTTGTATCTGCGAAACAGTCAACGCGAACCATGTAGTCAACAAAAGGCTGCAGAACTGTGAAGAAGACAAAAAATAAAATTAATTTTCAGTTATAAAGTGAGATAATTATTGGTTTTTGATATGTTTGTAGGGGTTTCTAAAAACTGAGAATACAACGAAAAGCTTTAACAGTTTTGTTTGTTGAAGGAGCCGGATCCAAGACCATTTTTATTTTGATGCATAATTAACAATTTAGAAAGATATAAAACCACATCGCACTCACGTTCCCTCGAAATAACTGAGAGCTTCGCCTTTGCCGTTTTCGACAAATTTTTATCAAAAATAAATGGTTTTTCCGTTGCAGTAGAACAGGATCGGAGGATCTGCAAGTTATCTAGACACAGCAGTTCTTCTAAAACTTAAAAGGGACTTGTAAAAGCCTACATACAGACCATATTTAAGCTAATTATACCCTGAACAGAGTATATTAAGTTTTCCACGAAGCTCATAACACCTAGAAAAAATTTCGGAGGCCCTATACCATAAAGTATATACATAAATGAACAGCGTGATGAGCTGGATCGATCTGTAACTTTGCACAAGTCCTTTTCTTACCAAGAAGCTGCTCATTTGTCGGAGTCGGACCAATATCGAATCACTATATCATATAGCTGCCATACAAACTAATCGATCAATATCAAGTTCTTGTATTGAACTTTTTTTATTTGACACCATATCTTCACGAAATTTGGCATGGATCCATTCCGTACAATTTCCGAACAAATCGTTTAGATCGCACCACTATAGCATTTAACTACCATACCAACTTACCAATCAAAGTCAAGGTCTTTTAAAGGAACTTGAGCTTGTGAAGGGTATTTTAGGCACTGACTTTAATTACCGATCTTGGAGTTAAACTGTTACAGAACTTTGGTTCAAAAAAAATATTATATAATTATTCGAAAAAATGGTAATGGAAAACTGTATTTCAACTTTTAGAAAATTGTTCAACTACCCTCTTTTGATTTTTACATAAATTTTTTTACATATACTATATATGTACATATCTACGTATACCATATTTTCTTGCCACGTATGCATCTTACCAGTAGCACTGAATATGTACTAGAAATTCCCATAATTTCCTTTATTCAAAAGCGAAGAACTTTTATTATTTTTATATTAAAAATGTTTTTTTACAATTGCTTAGCACACACAATATTTTGCTTTTAGTTACACTAGTTACAAGCGATTAAAAACTTTTCGAACTTCTTCTCGAGATCTAAGTAATTTTTTTTTAAACGATCCTGCTGCGACGAAGTTTTTTACCACTCTGAAGCAACTTCTTGCAAGCATCACAAATAAAAGCTTGATAAAATACTTATATGCCATCTTATTCTTATTAAGAAATATATACATGTCGATATGATATAGATACATATGTACAATATATGCATGTAGATATGTATAATGACTCATTCTGTTTTTGGCTTGTTTGTTTTTGAAACGCTATCGGTAAATTCAAAGCAAAGCTGGCGTGAGAAGTTTTTAGAAAGTTGGAGTAAATATTTATATTGCCGAAATGCTTCGAGATGGCTCTAATAAAGACGCATGTACTGTAACGAATAATTACCGAAGTTCATTTAACAAAATTTCTTTTCGCTTTGCTTAGCAAATAACTGACCATTTAATAGTTTTTTAATGAAAATATGTAGGTGAAGTTACAAAAGTTGATATTTACACTAAGTAAACTTATAATATATATATATATATTTTACAAATACAAACGTTATAATAACCTATTTTGTTCTATATATGCTAGGTTTCCCTTGTAAATATGAAAATGAAGATGCCTTATATAGACCAAGGTCGCTAATTTATTAAAACAAAAAAATCATAGTAGGCCTATTGGAAAAGGAAGGTTAAATACCAAGAATGAAAAGAAGAAAAATGTTGTTCGGTCTGAGGTGAGGAAGCGGAAGAGTGGTTGAATTTTTAAGGGTTAAAAACGGCTTATTTCGATTTCCGGAAAAAAAAGATGTATGGCAAAGTTGTAGGTGATAAAAAAATCTACAATTTTCGTGTTCATACTTTTTTCACATAACCTCAAACTTTATGTAAATTAATTCAAATAACCAAGGTGTTGGATTTTTCTTTTTATCTTAAAAAACAACTATTCTATTTTCTGAAAGTTGGGGAAAGTTAGCTTCATATGTTCCAGGCATCAGATCGCCCGTAAGCTATTTATCCATTCATTTTTGTTAATTTATTTCCCTTTTCTAAAGGGTTTCACCCTACTATGATTTTTTTTTTACTTTTTACAATTGTTAAAGACTTCAGCACTGGCCTTATATGATTTTCCTCACGTATTCCGAAATACAGTTATATATTAACAGAACCAAGTAGCTACAAAATCCTTACAAGTATTACTGGTAATGACATTCGGTTTAATTTAATTATAACGCAAAACACACAATTTATTTATTTTCTCTCCGCGTTCCGAAGACATGTCTTTTACTTTTCCGCCGGTAGTACATTGTACATTGTACATGGTTCAAACTTGATATTGATATGAGTTAATTATATTAATTTACCCACAAATTAAACGTAGACACCTTTTCATCATTGTCCGAAGAAAGTTAGTAAATTTTTGGTAGAAGATTTGCACAAGCCAATAGCCGAAATATGTGGCTTTTGTTAACATTTCTATTCAATTATCAGTAGCATTAAAATGCGTTTTTTATATAACCAACGATTTTAACACACAATGCATGCTTTACGCGAAATATAAATTGAAATATTTTAAAACGAACAAATAAGCAAAAGGAAACAATTGGCGGAAACTGAAATTTTCATTTCATTCGTTTTATTATGAAATTTGGCAGCACTTACGAAATTGACATTTTTCTGACAATTTTTCCTTTACATCATTTATCACACAATTGCAACATTCTTCTTGATTCGTATCAGTTTTTTGTCAACTTCATGTAAAAAAATGTAAATATACCTCGGAGCATCGTAAAAATCAAACAATTTCTGCAGTAATCATGGAATTCCTGCACGAATCAATTGCGCTTGGTGTTGATTTACTAATATTAGGGCTATGTGTTAAAGAATATGTCAGCTACAAGAAAAATGTGAACTGTCTCAAGGTTAGTTCAGCAGTCAACAGCTGATGGCAAGCTTCAAATTTCATACAAATTGCATGTGCTTTGTGCTTTCCAGGCTGCCCCACAACTGGCGATAGATGGTGATCTCAAGAAATATGTGGGTGCACAGAAGGACAAAAAGATACCGTATGCCGTTGTGCGCGGCACGGTCACGCCTATTGGTGTGCCTATGCGCAGCGTTATGTCGCCATCCGTAACTGGTGTTCTGCAAGTAATCAAACTGAGGTGATAACAAATATTTAGACACTATTGAACAGAAAAATTAAAAACTTTACAACTTCTAGTGAGCATCGTGTAACTCGCGGTTTTGCCGGTTTCTGGACGGAACAACGCAAACTAATACATGTGTCATCGAATGAAATGCCCTTTGAGTTGCGCAACAACGAAAGTAACGTTGAAATCATTGATGCATTAAGCGCTGCTGTTCTAGATTTAGATGTGGTGTATGACAATTATGAACCCTCTTCACTTTCGTTTTTCGATCATGTTTTCGGCTTCTTCTCCGGTGTCCGACAAAAAGGCTTGCAGACAACGGAGGAAGTGTTGCGCGATGGTAGTTTCATTACAGCAATTGGTGAACTGGAGTTGGATGGTAAAACGTTACGTTTGCAACCATCGCCGGTGGGTCCACTCTTTCTAACGACAGCTACCAAATCTACATTGATTAAGAAATTCGAAGAGGCTAAATCATCCATGCTGTAAGTATTTGTGATTCTAGTAAAAGATTTATGTTATACCCTGAACAGGGTATATTAACTTTGCCACACCCAGTTTGCAACACCCAGATGGAAACGTCGGAGACTATATAATATCTATATAAATGACCAGCGTGACGAGCTCAGTAATTTGTGCTACGTCCGCCTGTCCGCCGTCTGTCTGTCTGTATATACGCAAACGAGTCCTTCAATTTTTGAGATATCGATCTGAAATTTTGCACAAGTCTTATTCACCCTTTGAACGGATTAATTTATCGGAACCGATATCGGCATCTCTAGCATATAGCTGCAATACAAACTGAACGATCAAAATCAAGTTCTTATATAGATTAATTTTTATTTCTGAAGGGTTTTATAGCTTCGGTCTAGTCGAAGTTAACGTTTTTTCTTGTTTTGTGTAATTTTATATTTTAATTATACTTTTTTGTAGCGTTAAAATCTTTGTCTGTGGCACAATCTCAGCTATATTAATTGGTTATATAGTACGTAAGCTGTACAACAAAAAAAAGCAAGAACGTGATGAACGAAAAATCAAAGAAACTCTAGAGAAGGAGCGACGTGAGAGACGCGCACGTACACGTCCACTAAATCTTACCACTGAGCAGTTGTGTGTGGTGTGTTCAACGAATCCCAAAGAAGTGAGTGTGTCAAAAAAAAACAATTAAAATATTATACAGGACTGTCCCTTATGCTTTTTTGTTTAATTATGTTTAAATTTTTTTAAACAAAAAATTATATTGTTTATGATTTTTATATTTTTTTAAAGGTCATAATACTGCCATGTGGACATGTGTGCATATGTGAAGACTGCTCCGAGAAGATTCGTGTTACTTGCCCCGTCTGCCGTGGTAAAATTGCGACCAAAGCTGCTGCTTTTATCGCTTAATATAAAATCAAAACAAAAGTTGCTTATACTTACATACTAGTATATACACATCATAAAATCTGCATTGCATTCACCGCAATAAAGTAATAAGTAGTACATTAAGTGCGGGCACAAGCCTTCTGATGCAACAAATGTAAACAAAACTTAATTTATTTAATAATTAATTAGTTCATGGAATAGTAACAATTTATAAATTATTTGGAAGGTATTAAGGTACAAATGATGTGCGGTTAAGTATCAAAAAAAAAAAAAATTGTACAATAAATGCATAAAAACAAAGAAATGGTTAATCTTTTATTATAACGGTTTTTAGTTTTCCATTATTTGTTTGTATTTGCGTTGATCTTCAAGCATTTGCAGAAAAACACGGTATTTGCGATTGTGATAGTCCGCAGTGGATTTTTTCGGTTTTAACAGTACACCAGTGCCGCCCATTTCCTTCGAAGTAGCCTGAAATGTCAAACATAACGTAATTGTAGTAAAAACCAGTATTAAACATAATTTCTGTTATATATATATAAAAATTCAGTATCCACCTCCAAATTTCCATAAACGTTTGCTGCACATGCGCCCAACATGGCGGCGCCGACCAATACCATTTCCTGTTCATCTGGTATCACAGCCGCTAATTGACAGATATCAGCGTGTGTTTGCACATAAACGCTATTCTTTGCTAGGCCACCACAAAACAGCATACTGCTGTAAGCCACACGTTTATATTTCTCGACGAGATTATCAATAATGTGACGGGTACCATACTATTGATAAGAATTAGCATAAAAATTGAGTTCAAGTGCTTTTTAAGGTTTATCAATAAGTAATGATGTTACTCACTGCTAATGCTTGTACAAATGCCAAATATAATAGCGCCAACGACTCCTCATCGGCGTTCATATTGAGGCCGGATATCTGAATTGTATTAAACGGCGGTAATTAATGTAATATTTTTATGTGGTGGAGGTATATAAATAATCATATTTTATTAGTACAAAGTATTTAATACTTACCATACCGCGCAAATTGGGATCCGCAATAGGCGAACGATTGCCATGAAAATCTGGCCAAACATGCAATTCTTTGGTCAAAAAGCAAATATCATCATAACCACGTTCCGAACGCATCTTCTCCAATAGATTATTTAAATATTGATATATGTGCCTAAAAAACGTACGGTATAAACGTATAATACCCTTCACATGTGCATTTCTTATAGCATAAAAAGGTAAAAAAAGTTCTTTATCTTGATTATGATCGGTCAGTTTGTATGACAGCTATATGCTAGAATTATACAATCTGAACAATTTCTTCGGTAATTGTACCGTTGTCGGAGACAATAATCCATGCCACATTTCGTGCGGTTTGAATGACAGCTTTATGCTATAGTGGTTGTTGTTGTTGTAGCAGCAGAAAACATTCCTGAAATAAATTTCATGGTCCGATATCAGCGGTGGCAACAAATTCCGACAGCGTATCAGGGAAAAAAAATACCAGTTCGCGTTATACAAACGACGGACAGACAGACGTTTATATATTATATATATACTTTATACAGTCTCCGACGTTTCCTACTGGGTGTGTTACAAACTTCGTGGAAAACTTAATATAACCTGTTCATAAAAATTGTAGGAAAAGCAAACTCACTCATTTTCGCCTAATTTCGCTTGTATGTTGGCATATTGTGTATGCGACTTTACAATGAAATCCAATAATATGCCAGCAGCGCTCTGACCACCTTCATTGAGGTAGTAATTCGGCAATATGGCACCACGGTAAGGACCCCACACACCATGTGCTAGGCAAGGCGCGCGTGTCAAGCTCATGTGACATGTAGATGTGCCGCATATAAGCGCCAATTTGCCCTGTAAATTTTCCAATTCTGCTTCCAGTGGCTTATCGCTCCCTTCCAATGCGGCACGACAACCAAACATACCTAATGCACCAGCGTGTGCGTCTATTAGCGAGGTGCCAACGATCGTGCCAGGCAAAAGCGATAGCTCTTTGGCAGCTTGAGCTGTTAAACCTGTTGTGTGTGAGTGTAAATTTGCATTATTTTAAATTCGTAGTTTTACAATTAGTTTTTATTTACCTGCTCCCACCGCCGAACCCGGCTCACAGATGTGCTGCCCTATTTTTTCAAAATCATTTGCACATAAATCATCCAAACCGATCTTCTTCAAAAAATCTGCGCTCCAACGCATATTCATAGCATCGTAATTCCATTTGCAAACCACTGAACACAGCGAGCGCGTGTCAACGCCCGTGCTGCGCCATGTAAGGAAATCTGGCAGATCAAAGGCGCGCCAAACTTTACTCCATGTACTTTGTAGATTCTTTTTTAACCACAACAATTTCGGTATTTCCATTTCCAGCGACACCTGTCCGCCGACATATTGCAGCAGCTCGTGTTTGGTGGCATTAATAAGCGTGGCTTCGGCATGTGCACGATGATCCATCCACAATATGATATTCTGCTCGCTTTTGCCGGTGCGACTGACAGTGAGAGATTCACCATTTTTGCCCAATACCACCAAGGAGCAGGTGGCATCAAAAGAGATAGCTTTTATGTTTTCCTTTTTGGTGTCTTTGGTGACTTCCTAAGAAATTTTTTTCATGAATATACAATACATTTGAAAAAAAATTATTAAATACAAGAAAAAACATTAACTTCGGTTTCACCGAAGCTATAATACCCCTCACAAATACAAAAGGTTCCTTAGAAGGACTTGATTCCGATCCTTCAGTTTGTATGACAGCAATAAGCTCTAGTGATTCGATCGGAAAAAGATACCTCGTCAACTGAAAAAGTTTTCCGTGCAAGCACTTGATTCCGATCGTCATGCCGATCATTACTTATATATGTATATCCGTTTCCGACGTTTCCTTCGGAGTGTTACAAACTTCGTGGCAAACATAATAGCTTTTGTTCTGTTATATATTTGGGACGTTTTAGTTAATTATTTCAGTTGCTTTCTTACGTTTTACTCTTGATGATTTTTTTTTTTAAACCTATTGCATAATTTTTAATAACATTATAATTTATGTTATATTGTATTTATATAGTGCATTTTATTTTATTATTACACTTTTAAATTGTCAACAAATCCCACGAATGCAATATTTTCTCTACTGAATTTGTAAACAATTGTTTATGACGTCCTATAATCACTTTAATCACTTAAAGGTTATGCACGAAGGTTAAACTCATTCTTTATCGGCAAAACAATGTTATACACCGACAACACTAATGTATCTTATTTTAAGTTAAGTTGAAGATATGCCTCCCGCGCTTAATTCTTTTGTTTAAAAATTCAAATGTTAACGGCATCCTGTTTAAATAACTAATTAGAGGATTTTCCAATAGTTAATCAATCTTATATTTTCTTTTTTAGCTGTGTTCGTATGTGTTAAAACCTAACTTATATATTTTCATTTTTTGCTGCAAACATCGTTCAATTTCGTCTCACCTTCACACAATGACACACTGCACTCCAAATATCCTCGGATGATTGTTCATAATAATCGCGTTCGGGATTCCAAGTGTTTATTGGTTTCACACACTGCCTCAACACCTTTCCCTTCAAATCGACCAGTGCAGCACGGGCACTGCCAGTGCCTATATCAACACCCACAAAGAACGTTTCGGTCATGGCGAGCTAAGTACTAAACCGGTACAAGTTTTTTTTTGAAATATGCGCAATTTTTACTAATAATTTCCGTCGGTTATACACCACTAAACTCCGCGACTGGCGTCAGCAATCTGAAACTGTTGAGTACTTCTAGCTTTCGATTGACCTGCTGCTACACGCCTCTTGTCGTGTTGTAGTTTTTTTTTTTATTTTGGCATTATCAATCAAAAAATTTGCGACAAAATACTAAAGCTAAAACATATTGATAAAAGAGATCGACTAACTAGTTCGTAATGTTTATTATCGCAGACTAGCTAATGTATTGGGTTTTGTTTCTATATTTCGACTTGAAAGAGAATACTTCAGAATTTGCCACAGTCTAATGTTTTCTCCGTAAGTATTCACAGAGCTCAAAGTGTATTCGAACGAAATGCAGGTGGCACCTGCTCTATGTAGGTAAAAAAGAAGTGTAGACAAGAGCGTAAATAAATTGAAAATATTAGTTAATCACACTTTGAGCTCATAAATTGCTCTCCAAGCTAGTGCTGTGGACGTATGTACAAGTATTTAAATGTGCACAGCTTTGCTAATCTAATGCAACGTAAGAGTCTAATTACAATAATTCCGGACATATGTACATATGTATATAGCTATGTTCTCTGGCATGTCTACAAAACGTTAGAGCTTTTATTTGAATATATGAAATATAAATGCAGTTTCCATTCCATGAGAATCCTAGATGTTATAGATAAAAGAAATTAACGGTCGTAATTTCAAATAATGCGGTACACGTCAATTTTCAAACTTAACAGTAAACCTTGCGCGAAAACTTTACAGCATCTTTGTTGTTGTTGTAGCGGCAGAAAACATCCCTAAAGTAATTTGGAGGAATGCTGCCGGGTTGCCAGTTCTTTGCCGGATAAAATCCGGATCCGTTCCTGTAACATAGCAGTCTTAATTGCCGCTTGGCTGTCCACTAGAAGAATTTTGGACTGGCGGGTTACAGCAGAATATGTATATAAATATAATAATAAGCTGAGTCGATTTAGCAATGTCCGTCTGTCTGTCTATTTATACGCGAACAAGTCTCTCAATTTTTGAGATATCGATCTGAAAATTTGCACACGTCCGTTTCACCCCAAGAAGCTACTTATTTCTCGAAACCGTCGATGTCAAACCACTATAGCATATAGCTGCCATACAAACTGAACGCTTAACATCATGTTCTTATTGAGAACATTCCTTTTATTTGATATGATATCGTCAAATAAAAATTTGGCACTTATTTTTTTCAAGGCAACGCTACAATCTCCGAAAAAAATCAGATCGTAACCATAAAGTTCAAATCGAATTAAGTACTTGTATGGAAACTTTGTTGTTTGTGAAGGGCATTCTTTCTTCGGTGCAACTGAAGTACACATTTATTTTTTGGTTTAAGTCAAATTTTAGTTTGTCGCAAGATTCTTGTAATTTCAGATCTGGCAACTACCATTATTTAACTACGAACAGCTGATTTATGTTTATATTCGAAAATCAACAAATAAACGTGATTTTCCAACAAAAATGGTGCGGATTAAAAATCGGTAAATAATTAATGAATTCCCCTATAAACACATGTAAATAATAAGCAATTTTCAGTTATGTAGTTGTCAGGATAGTGCCGGAAAAAACGGCGAATATATTAAAAATTGACGATGCCGTTCTAGCTAAATGTGTGCTGCGCAACGTAAAAAAGTACTACGGCGACTATGGACTGGGGATTGTGGAGCATGGTTTTCGCGTGAAATACTGTAATGAACGCACAAAAATAGCAATAATTAGATGCCTACATCGCTCACATCGTACGTTGACGAGTACGTTGCCGTTGATAACTATGGTGAGTACAAGGGCATAAGTGGCACAAAAAGAATATAAAAATTTGTCCAAATACGTAGATTGGCGATGTGCGAGCAAAATTTCATACACTCTACGTCGGTGCTACTATAATACATTGCAACAAATTCATAATCAATCACCAGCAAAGATTTTTGGACGAAATGGTGGGTCAAATCGCGTCGGCAAAAGAACGCAAGGACTTCATTAAACGTGTTATGGAATTTGATCTAGAGCAGTAGCAACGCTGATTGCACTTCAATCGCACTTTAAATTTTATCATAGAATAAATATATGTATTTAATTTGTAAGGATTTTTGTTTTTATTTACACCCATTATAGACTACAAGTATAAGAAAAATAGTACATTCATACATAATTATGTGAAATATCAACTAAATAAAGCATAATAAGGTGCTTATTGATTGCTAGTACATACATGTGTATATGTATGAAAAATTTATATTTTAATAAATTTCATATATAACTATTATTTTAATTATTTATTATTATTTTACATTACTCACTACGGGCTAAAATCAAAACTACAGCTAAAAAGTGGTTGTTGTCAGATCAAACTACTTGCAATTATTACACTAATTTTGGTATCGTAATAGTAACAAACATTTACAAATTTACTTATTGTACCTTTAAATGTACAAGATATAGAAATTTCACACGTTTAAACTTCTACTAAGAACTTGCGACTTGTAGATCGCTCCCAACCTCGGAAAGCGTTAAGCGCATATTTCAACTTTTGTTGAAAATCGCGCATAGTCATTTTGTGATTTTTGCTGTACACATTCAAATATATGCCCAATACCACTATTATACCCGACCACAGGTATCTGCAAGAAGAAAATGATTTTTTAAGTAAAATGTATATTCTGACACCTTTGTATTTTATAACTTACTGCCATGTAAATGGTTTGCTGAAGAAAGCAAACGATAATGCAATCGTTACCGCTTTTCTTGCTGTCGTCACGGTTGCAGCTACAGGTGCGCCACTGCTTCGCACTAAAGCCAATACAAACTGTATGCCAAGGTAACCGGATAAACTGAAAAAGAAGCCATAGCCAAAAGTTTCCAAAATGTGCTAGAATACAAAAGAGAATAAAATATATTTATTTTATTTAAAAAAAAAATAATAATCTAAAACTTACTTCAAGACAGAAAGCGAAACCGCTGAAAAAATTACAGGTTACCATCAGTATAACCAATAGGTAAATAAATCCTAATCCATAAGAATAAAGCACAACTTCACTGCTGGATGCATGATGTTCCCGCATTGCCTTTTCCTGTACATTTCCAATAGCTGCATCACAAAGCAGTGCCGCTGATATCATTGCGACGCCGGTGAGATCGAAATTCGGAGAGACCTGCGAATCGGCTAGCGTAAACCAGGCCAGACCAATGCACATGGCGAACGCGGCAGCAAAATCAAGTGGCCCATAACGCTTTCCTTGTATCAAAATACTGCCCACCAACACTGGTATCAATTTGCAACATTTAAATATCACCTGTGTGGGATAGTTAAGATAGCCCAGACTAGAATTAGACAGCCCCATGGTGCCGAGCGTTAGTGCGGCAAGTAGAAAATAAGTACGCATTGGTATACGACGCTCTGATGTCTCAACACTACCTCCTGGTAGTAGCTGAGCTCTACGTCTAGTTTCTAAATCACGTTCAATTACACCGAAACAAATGTAATATCCGAATTGTACAAGTGTGAGAAACCATCCATATGGTTTAAAACCTTCAACCGTAAAAATTAGTTCCTGCAGATACCCATATATAAGATATAGCACAAAAACACCTGCACAGCTCAAAAGGAATTGAGTGGTGCGATTGTAGTTGGTAAGATCAAAACAAAGAATCCGCAATTCAGTTGGATTATCAGAATCCGTTGAGGTTTTGCTTCCGTTGCTATTCACTTTAACGGTCGCCATTTCTAATCTACTCTATGTTTTTCGAAATATTTTTTATTAACGCACTTTTCATCACCGGCAAATTGTTTGCTTAAACTTTTTATCTGAAAATGAATTCTAGGCAAAATCTTTGTTTACCTATCAACCGCCACATTTACATTCTTTCTAACTTCGAAATTCGATGATTCAAGATGTTCTACTAAGGGCTGTATACACGAAGATCCCAAATGTGTTGTGGCGATGTGATGGGTTCGAGTTTTTGTGAATTGCTATGTAAAATTGTTAAAATATTTTTTTTTTTGAAATAGTTATTATAAGTAAAAAAGTACCAACTCATCTTCGAAAGAAATTTCTTTAATATGTTAAATCAATCATCGTAAGTAATTAATAACTAAGCCTTAACAGAAAATAATATGGCAACCTCAATGAAAATGCGGAAAGAAAAACAAAGATTAAATTGACAGTGATGTCAAATGAAACAAATACATTTTCAGTTTATTCTTTGATCGGCCGAGTGAATGTGGTTTAATTTTTCGCACATTTCAAAAGTTATCAAATATAGTATATAGATGTGAGTAATTGATTTCAGTTTGAGTGCGTGAAGTAAAATGACTATGCTTGTAGTTGTGCAAAAACATCGGTAAAATAAATTTAATCTATAAAAGGTTGGTCGCTTCGTTTGTCCAAATTTTATTAATTAATTGCGCATTGCGTAGTGATTTGTGATTTTAATGTTAATAAATTAATTAATATTGCTAATAACTAAAATGTGTTGTGAAAAAATATATTGTTATAATACGATTTAATTGGGATGGTTTCTGTTTATTACTTTTCTAGTTGGAATTTTATTAATCAAATATAAAACCTGTGGAAAACCGGTTTAGTGTCTGCTGCATAGCATTGTTTGCTTTTTTACTGCTGGAAAAAATCTGCAATGATGCTGTAATATACAAAAATAACGCGAAATTACTAATAAGTCAATAAAAGATTGGTGAAAAGTGTTAAGAGTATGCAAAGAGAAAGCAAATCTCTAAATGTAAACTAAATATTTAAATAACAAAGGCATTTTTATATAAACAATTAAACCATTGCTAAGTGAATATAAAATTTACATATTATGCATGTGGTATGCAGTGACGGTAAGTGTCTTGTTTATGCCAATAAGTAGTTACTTATCCCAGTTAAAACGAAAAATATTGATGATCATCTAATTATTTGCAATTTTTAGTTCCCTTCTTCAACCACGAATAACAATCAAGTCATTTGTTTCGAAAATAGTTATCTGCTTCTCCACACTTTACGCTTTAGGTAATTGCTCTAAACCAGTTAATTAAAAAATCGCTTTCGCCATTCCACTTCTTTTTCATTCGTTTAACAAAGTATTTTCTCCATTTTGTTTATTCTTTTTATTCTGCTTGGATTTCTTTAGTTAGTGTTTTTCTTTCCTTTTATTTTTTTTAAATTACTGTGTACATGTGTGTAGGTCTTGATCGAATACAAGTGGTTTAATGCATTTGTTTGTATGTGTGTTCTATATCTTTTGGCTTTCGCTTAGAAGCACGACTGAAAGATACTTCTACACATATGCAAGTACATTGCATATGTATGTAAGTATGTACATATATATTATTTAATGACCTTAAAATAGGGCGAATATTTAACAAGACAGAGGCGCGATTAAAGTGAGGGTGGGTAAATGACTATATACAATATATTATGTGTTTATCTACCATTTAGCATTCTATGTTATGCTGCTGTCAAAACTAAGCCCATAAGAACGAAAAAAGTAAAATTTTCCTCCGATTAGAAGATTAGTTTGTGTGTGCTTTTTTGTGTAAAGTGTTGAAATAACTAAAGCGATGTTTTTGATGATTTGTTTAGAAAAATGTTTAGTTATTTGTGGAATGGACAAAGTACAAGTAGTCGGCTAAAATGTTTTTCTGATTCGGCATATAAGGCTATTCAAAGTTGTACAGGTTATAATCCATTACTTTTTGAAACTTAGTTAATATCATTACTTCATCACATAATAACTGTCAAAAAATCATAATTATTATAAATTTTCTTTAAAAATCATAATCCTAGAGAAATTTGTGTTTCTCTTGTTTCACATACAAACAAAAATCCAACGCAATAAATTCTTCAATAAAGATGCTGTATGTAGTAGGTACAAGTTGGTACGTGCACAGTATGTTCATATGTATATTAAATAAACAAACACCCCTCCTAAACCGCCCATGCGTCCGCTGATTTCAATTGATTGTGTCTGCCCGCATAGCTTTTATTGAAAAGAACATTTCCATCGGGCGTTTGGGGAGGAGTGTTCAAATGCTTGCGGCATTGAGAAGAGAAGGACGCATGTTCACACATATGGACAGACTTATGCATAGAAAATGAAATGCATTCAAACTGGAAATACTAGTTTATCATTTAAACGCAATGTTGCAGTCGGCAGTTCGTCTGCTACATGACTCTGACTTTCAAGTGTGGCTGCAAAAAACGTCTGCAACAGTGAGTGAGTGCCAATGCTTACTTCCTTGAAACAATTTTAATTACTAGATACTTGTGTTCATTTACTAATGATAATGGAAACTGCAGTGAAGTGCATGCAGTATATGTTGTGGAATTAAGTTACACATTATTGTTATTGTTTGGTATATACAGTTGTGTGCAAAATAGTGGTAGAGCTATTTTGTATTATTTAGGAGTAGTTTGTAGAGTTATTTATAACAACTTTAGGGCTAAACTCTTATTTTAGTAAACTTAAAAACCTATCGATCAAAAATTTTGCACATGTTCTTGTCTCTCTAAAAAGCTGCTCATTTGTCGGAACCGCCGATATCGGATCACTATAGCATATAGCTATACAAACTGAACGATACAAATCATGTCCTTGTATGAAAAACTTTACGAGATATCTCTTTGAAATTTGATATGGATTATTATACGAGGTAACGGTACAATCTCCGAAAAAATAGTTCAGATCGGACTACTATAGCATATAGCTGGCATACAAACTGATCGTTCAAAATCCAGTCTCTGTAAAAACTTTTGTATTTGACGAGATATCGCTTTGAAATTTGATATGGATTATTATACGAGGTAACAGTACAATATCTGAAAAAATGGTTCAGATCGGACCACTATAGCATATAGCTGCCATATATCTCTATACCCTTTTTATGCTATAAAAAATGCACTTGTGAAGGGTATTATAGCTTCAGTGCAGCTGAAGTTAACGTATATTCTTGTTTTAGTTAAAATTAAGTAAAAGTAATCAATTATCGTAAAACTTCTAGTTCCCTTTTTTGCATGGCAATTCAAGTCTGGTTGCCATGTGTACACAGCTCTCTTATACACAGTGTTTAGAACATGTGCATCGCTGGAAAAGTGCATTGTGCCTGATTTATAATAATATATAGGCTGCTAGTGTTCACCTAAACTTTGAAATTGTGCGAATATGATGGCATAAGGCAAAGTTTTTTGCTGACGCCGCGAAATACAATGCAAATTACATGCAATGGAACTATGTGATTACATACGTACATACCTATGTATTGTATATACGGTATACATAAGCGCTTATGCGTTGTTATATTCATTTGCGTATTTCTCATAATATATAGAAAGCTTTGCTCTACATGAAACTGACACTTTCGAGAATCCTGACATTGAGAAGAATTAATATACACTTTTCGTTTAGAAGAACGGCAGCGTGGCGGCGAGTGCATAGAATTCAATATGTATGTATGTATGTAGTATTATGTATGTACATATATATGCAATAGCGAGTACTTATGCAATAGTGCATTTGAAATGCTTTTAAAGCCTAAATTCATTTATAGAATTGCTAATTATAAATTTAGTCACACTAAATGCGCGTAAATATATATATATATATTTTTTTCAATTTCACATATGAAAGCAAACTTAAACTTATTTCAAATTCGCATTCGATTTTTTTTATATGTATTAAGAACCCTGCCGTCACACTTCAGTATGTGGTTAGAAAAAAACTTTTTTTTTATTAACCGCAATCGGCGTAAGATTTGCGGTGACGTCAATAACTTAAATATTTATATCACAATCATGTTTAGTAGTATTATTTTTTCATTAATGTAAGACTTTTTTTGTTAGAATTTTTTTTTTTAAATATAGAAATAATAAAAAAACGATTTAAGAGCTAAAGAATGGCTCGTTTAACATGTTATGACGTCATCAGTCACTTTGCTATTTGTAAATCATGTCATTGTGAACATTACAATTGGGTTGGAGCATTTATTTGTCATATATTTTTACATATAATCATATATTTTACATAAAATTGATTGTAATTTCTTGAATCATCTTTTTCACAGTGTATAATCCCCAAACACACTATACACCATCTGATCAAATTTGACCCGGACTGGCCCATTTAAACCGCGCGCGCAAGCCGAATCAATAAATTTTGTTTTCCAAAAAACAATAGCATTTTTTGAATAAATTTACACTTACCAATATCTTAAAAAATATAAATTACTATGAAAAATCGTATCCCTTCGATCATTACCTGACAAATATATCTAAGAAAGTCACGTGAAAAATTGAAGCCGATCGGTACACTCGTTTCGGAGATATTCCACCGTCTAACAAAACAGCGGTTCGAGAAAAACTTACTCTAAGTTAGAACATTCTCATAAAAACGCCTATTTCTCCGAAACTATTTTCCGTATTAATTGTAAAATCTCTGAGAATATTCTCAAATATACTAGGTATGGTATGTTCATCTGAAATATATGTATAAAAAACAACGCAAGTTAACCAAAAATATTTAGGAATGCTTTTATGAAAACCTATTTTTTATATTTTTTTACATAGGAACCATACTAATGGTAACATAATATAGGGTGTCCGTCTTGTTGAAACTACCAGTTTTGCATTATGCGCCTAATTGTAGGCAAGCAGTTTAATTTTTTTGTCGGTACTATATTAAAGTGTTTATAAAAAATTGATGTTGAAGTTCTTATCAATATAAAATATTGAAAAATAAAGAAACAGTGCTTGAAAGTAGTCGTGTTGGCATCTGAGAGATAGCAGATCTTAACATCCTTTTGGTTAACGTTTTTGGGTTATCTTGAAGGCGATAATAAAGATTTGTATCAAAATACGTGAAAATGTTTTTTTTTTTTTTTTCAATCCGGCTTAAATTTGATGAGATGATATTGCCCATATTTTGCTACCTAAATTTTAAAACTCTAACCATAAATAGTTCAGAACTAACTGCTGTAGTTCAGCAAACTTGGAAAATCCAGCTATTCGCAGATGTTTACATAAATGTCAAGCACTCACCCAAGCGCACAATAATGTTGCATGTGCTTGACATATGTTTATTTAGATATGTTTTTGACATTAGAAGTGCATGGGAAGATCCACAGCAGGCAGTTCTGTTTGGGAAGGTCTGCTGGAATGTTTTGTGCAAAATGACTTTTTCGCTTTAAATCGCACCATACATTTTCATATTTGAGAATTTTTATTTGTTAATATACGTATGTATATACTTATAAATACATATGCATATACATAGGTATGTATGTAAGTAGTATTTAATAGTATAGTATGTTACTCTTTCGTGACTACTTTCGTGCAAATATCCGTCTGTTATCGTTCTTTGTTGCAATAATAATTACACGGTTGTTGTTGTCATGCTCCGCTTTATTTTCAAATCTTTATTTGCATAACAAAAGCTTGTGATTACCAACTAAAAGCGCAGCGGAGAACTTGAATCAGCACCTTCTCATTTTACTGATGCCATTCAGCGCGTATATCTGTTGGTTCATTTGTAGGTGTACATATTTACATGTGTATTGTATATGTTAATATATGTATTTGGATATGACTCGGCATATTCACTACAAATGATAACATTTGTGTACATATGTACGTATGTACATGTGCATGTGGTAAACAAGCAGATTAATGTGACAATCAGACTCACTGTGGCGTCTCATTATCTGTTTATCCTGCGGGCATTCACTTGCAGTCTGTACAAATGAACATACAGAGGTGCTTTCCAAAGTGAATGGAATTTATAAAGATAAATGTTAAGCAAGACAATTACTCGTACCCAAAAGTGATAAAAGTTATAAAAGCAAAAAAA